AAAACTAAAATTCAAGACAATGCAAAAGAGTTATTTAGGAAAAATTGCAAGATCGAGATTTAATTACACAATTTTTGCTTTACATTGAGCTTTTAATTTTTGCAATATTAAAGAATATACAAATAAATTTGTTCCTAATTTCTATAACTTTATAACCTTTAAGCTAATTTCAACTAGTTTTAAGTTTTAAGACATGAAATCTTAGGCCTTCTCTAGAATAATTTTCACTTCTAAAACTCCAAATTATAATTAGAATATATGAAATAAAAATAATAAAAATAATAATAAAAAAAAGTAATTTAGATACTTGCTATTTCTACAAATATGCCAATATAAACAATGTTTGATCAATAATTATTCTCCCACACATTTTCCCCTCTTTCCCATTCTTTAGATTTATCACTTTCTCTTTCTCTTTTTCTTTCAATTCGTCTTTTTGAGAACTCTATTTGCTCTTACAAATTTGGTTGTTATTATTTGTCAATAATCATAAGAAAATACTATAGATAATAATAATAATAATAATAATAATAATAATAATAATAATAATAATAATAATAATAATAATAATAATAATAATAAGGCAATGTATGATACGCGCTTCCTCCGACAACAAAAAATGGTCAAATGTCATCATCTGCTATTTTGCTAACTTTTATACCAATATGTCACAAGGATGTTAACTTTTATACCAATATGTGTTGTGTCATAAGGATGTTAATTTTTATACCAATTTGGTCAATTGGTCACACTAAGGGTTAATTGGTTATGTATATGAGTATATCTATATCATAATTTGACTAAAATATTAAAAGCAGGAAGAAGCCAAGAATATGCTATTCTGTTTTGTTACTCAGAAAAAAGGTAGAGAGTTTGGGTTTGATTTTTCTTCCTAAAATTGAAATGAAAATCCCAAGTGGTTGGTTGACTCCATACCGCAATTTAGGTGGGCAGTGGTCAAATAATGGCACAGAAATCTAAACATAATGACACAAAATAATCAATGTAGACACTTCGGAACGTACAACTGCCCCAATTCTTTTGGGTGTACCACACTACACTGCACTATCCACTATAGTATACCCATTCTTTGCATTTTCTAAACTACCCCCAACCCACTTTAGTTTATTATATTTTTGTTAACATCAAGACTTAATCAAGGAAAGGACATGCCAATTTTGACTTTCGGGTTTATTTTTCCCAAGTCTCCCTCCTAAAATATACGGAATATTATTATAATATTATTCCATTATGTTCATGTTCTTTTCACTTATTTAAAAGAAATTTATATTTAAATAAGATTTTATAAAGTTAAATAGGTTCACATAAGTGCAATCATGTTTAGATTGGTTCACATATGAGTTAATAATATGACTATCCAAGTTCAATTTACTATTTACTTAATTCTAGTTAATTTATCCGCAGAAGATATGAAACTAGATATAAGTGGCAAATATGCCAAACTATTTTTAATTCTAATGACTTTTATACTCACTCATAAAGTACAAATAACGGATCCGAAGTTTAAGATAGGTTAAGCATAAATGCAACAAATTATTAATTGAGTGAAGATCATATTTAGAGATTTGGTAGTAGTGCCCCTTTACAGCTTACCGGTATGGTTTGAATTTGGGACAAACTAACAATTAAAGATCTTAGGAATTAATTAAAAAATTTAATAAGGTAATGGTGGATAGATAATGGTGGTTTCCACAACGGATTCCCTCATCCCAAGCCTAGTCTATGGGTTTAAAAATTTCTTTGACTTTCTTCTTTAATTACCAGGTCGTTGAAAATATAGTCACATTGTCTGGTCCCTTCAATTCTCCAATCATATGCAAAGACAATTTTTTCCTAACAACTTAAAATAGAATATGTGACTATAATTACATGCGTGCAAAGAGCGCTACACAGTAATATAATGCAATGAAGAATGAATAATTGGGATACAAACGTAATATACCATAGACATTAGCAGTTAGCATACCATCAATAAACCAGGGTGGGTCAATAAATATGAATTAATGACTTTATCCCTAATTGCTAATTCCCTATCCATAACAAAGGGTCATAGCTTACAACGTGATATTTGTCAAAGGAAAATGTCAAAAAGATTTGGGAAACCTGTGAATTTAACACTCAAATCTGACCTTTATAATTAAAACTTTCCCAACCAGTTGAGTTCACTTTGCAGATACACAAATCGCAAAAGTCAGGAGCCGCTGTCAGCTGCAACACTCTCCGAAGAAATGGCTGGTTTTGCTGTCATTTTGCTTCTCTTTCACTGTCTGCTTCTCTCTCAACATTCCTACTCACTCCCCTTGTGTACAGACTTCAGTAAGTTTTTTCACTCTCCTCCTGTATATGTTTGTGTGTGCGCGTGCGAGCGTGCGTATCTTCGTTTTGATTGCAGAGATCTTGAATTTTTCTTATTGATACAGGAGCACCCGCAAAATTAAAGACACCTTTGGAATTCTGTCCTTACAATGGAACTACATGCTGTGATTCAACCAAAGACCTTCAGCTGCAGAAACAATTTCAAGCTATGAATGTCTCTGATACTTCCTGTGCTTCCCTTCTGAAATCAATTCTCTGCGCCGTAAGCTCTCAAAACCATTTTAATTAATACTGTAATAAAAAATAGTTTATAATAGAATGAACTTGTCGCAATACAAAATTTCTTGTTCACCAAACAAATACTATAACTTTACATGGGAATATTTGCGTAATAATGCTGTCACTTATGCCAAAGAGAAAGTTAAGCTAAAAGCCGTCAAAAATCAATGTTTTTGGTCATTTGCAGACATGTGATCCTTTTGCAGCAGAGCTTTTCAAGGCCAAAGCAGGGAACCAGAAGCAGCAGAAACCGGTTCCAGGTCTTTGCAACTCAACTGATTCAGGAAAATCACATTCATCAAAGCAATCAACAAGCAGCTTCTGTTCAACTGTATGGAACACGTGCAAGGACATATCGATCTTGAAATCGCCCTTCGCACCTTCATTACAAGGTGGAGCAAAAGGACCAGCACCAATTGCATCAAACTTATCTACACTGGCTGATCTCTGGCAGTCGGAAAAAACATTTTGTGATGTTTTTGGCGCTTCTCAAGACAATGATTCTGTGTGCTTTGCTGGCGAGCCCGTCAAACTAAACAATAACAGTTCAGAGACTGATATTCCTCCAAAAGGGCTATGTTTAGAGAAGATTGACGCTGGTAGTTATATCAGTATGACTCCTCATCCTGACGGGTCTAATCGTGCCTTCTTTTCTAATCTGCCTGGAAAAATCTGGCTGGCAACAATTCCTGAGCAAGACTCGGTAGAAAAGTTAGACCTTGACGAATCAGACCCATTCGTCGATTTAACCGATCAAGTTCTCTTTGACACTATATTTGGAATGCTAGGATTTGCATTCCACCCGGATTTTGCTCATAATGGACGCTTCTTCGCTTCCTACAACTGTGATCGGCTAAAGTCACCCGAATGTGCTGGAAGGTGTGCATGTAACTCTGATGTTGATTGTGACCCATCCAAATTTAACACTTCAGGTAGCTCTACACCTTGTCAATATCAAAGCGTTATTGCAGAATACACAGCAAATGGATCTTCATCAGACCCTTCATCGGTAATCATCTCTACAATTGTTTGAGTATCGAATCTAAACAGTTTCTGCTGTTTTACTTCCTGTCAATGATAATTTGTCTTTCGCAGATGCAAAGTGGCCAGCCAACAGAAGTACGGAGGATCTTCACAATGGGTTTGCCATTCACAAACAATCATGGAGGCCAAATTCTATTTGGACCAGAAGATGGGTATATGTATGTCATGATGGGAGATGGTGGAGGTAGAGGTGATCCCTATCACTTTTCTCAGAACAAGAAATCCATACTAGGGAAGATTCTAAGACTTGACGTGGATAAAATTCCAAGTAAGCATCTTCACAATTTCAAGACCAGAAGTGTCTTACGTTACTTTTAGTATAACAATGAGAAAGTTCTCAGGTCACTGTCTTCTGATGTGCAGGTGAAAAACAAATAGATGACCTTGGTCTCTGGGGTAACTATTCCATACCACAGGACAATCCGTATGCAGGAGACAAGAATTCGGCACCAGAAATCTGGGCTATGGGGCTGAGGAATCCTTGGCGCTGCAGCTTTGATGCAGATAGGCCTTCCTACTTTGTCTGTGGAGATGTCGGCCAGGTTCAAATCATAGCTTGAAAAACAATAAACTTGATGTATAAGCACTCCACTCTAATTAACAACGTACCACTCGTATGGCAGGATCAATATGAAGAGATTGATATAATCACCAAAGGTGGAAACTATGGCTGGAGTATATATGAGGGCCCCATTCCGTTTAGTTCTGGAAATGAAACAAAAAATTCGTCAGCTACCCAAAATCTGATTTTTCCAGTAGCAGGTTACACTCATTCACAAATTAACAAGAAAACTGGATCAGCTGCAATGTCTGGCGGGTTTTTCTATCGCTCTGAGACTGATCCATGCATGTCTGGCAGGTGAGTAAACACTTAATGAGCAGCCATCACTAAAAATAGAAATGCTATTATCATACACAATGAGTTCAAAATTGTTGGATGATTCAGGTACTTGTATGGGGATCTATATGCAAGCAATATATGGGCAGCTACCGAAAATCCAGAAAATAGTGGGAATTTTAGCACAGCAGCAATGCCATTTAGTTGTGGCAAAGACTCACCTCTTCAGTGCAGCACTGCTCCAGGAACTACATTGCCAGCTCTGGGATACATATATTCATTTGCGCAGGACAACAGGAAAGATGTCCTCATTCTAGCCAGCACTGGGGTTTATAGAATTGTTCGCCCAAGCCGTTGCAACTACGCTTGCTCAAAGGAGATCGCAAGGCCTGCCACTAGTCCAACTCCAAGTCCATCATCCCCTTCAAGCAGAGCTCATTTTATTGCACCTCTTGGAAATTGGCTCTCCTTTCTTCTCTGTTTCCTGATTTTAGAGCGTTTGTATAACTGACACAACTGAAGCCGCATTTATCATTTTGAGCAGTGTTTCATTCAGTTCCAGCTAGGATAGTCGTATAGAAAAAGTTCTTTGTATCTGAAAGAATTGGAAAAAAATTATTTTGACAGATCTAAATTAAGTCCACCAAAAAAAAAATAACAGCAGCTCACCGCTAAGCTGTGAACTTCTACTGAATATTTGAAAGATAACAAGCAGCCAACAGAATAATTGCACCATTCAAACAGCAGAACATTGTTGGGAATGGGGATGATGCCTGACATTGTACAACGCCACTAGTCCCTAATTCTGCAGTTACTTGAAAACAGTAGCTATGAAAACATTTAATTATACAAGTACAGCAAAATTGAATCATTATCACACTTCTAGAGTTCTAGACCAAAGCCAAAAACAAAAGTCTCATAATTAAAAAAAAGCCCGTGAAAATGAAAATCTTGAAACTACTAACATCATCAATATAACATATATTTTACCTTTGCCTTCCAGTCCATGTCAGCTGGTAGCAAGAACTAAGGCCTGGAGAAAGTTGTCATGGGATGTTTATACGCACGCTCACAAAAATCTAATTAATCATCAAGTATCATTATCTTTATCGACCTTATCAATAACGAATCTCTCTATAACCTCATCACAAAGCTCAATAGCATTTTCAAGGTTCCCTTCATCGAAGTTCTTGTCCAGAAAAAAGTATAAAATTTCTTGATTCGCAATGAACCCTTTTCTCCTCATCTCATCAAAGAGTACCTTTGCTTCCCCATACTTTTTCTTTTTAAGAAGCCCCTTGATAAAAGCATTATAAGAGCTGTCAGTGAGATCAAACCCTTTTGCAACCATTTCCTTGTGCAAATACCACGCTTCTTTCATATTCCTTGCTTTACTGTGCCCCTTGATTAATATATTATAAGTGGTGTTGTCTGGCATTACATTATAAGCACACATCTCCCTGTAAATTTTAGTTGTGCTATGCATGTTGCTTCTAATGCTATACTGCTTCATAAGAGAATTATAGGTTGTGGCATTTGGCATTATTCCCTTCTCCAACATCCATTTTAGCAGCCTTTCACCATCTTCCAACATCCCTGATGTGCAGAACCCATTCATCAACACATTAAATGTAACAACAGTAGGCTGATGTCCTCGATCCAGCATTTTCCTCAGAAGCTCATGTGCCTTAGGAATTTCTCCCGACTTACAGTAAGCATCCATCAAAGTAGTATAAGTAATGGTATCAGGATGACATCCAGTCACCTCCATGTCTTCCATCAGTTTTACTGCTTGATTTATATTTCCTGTTTTACAGAGACCATTAATGAGTACATTATATGTGAACTGGTTAAGTTCTAGACCCTTGGCAGACATTTCATGCAAAAGTTCATTTGCCGTATCTACCTCTCCTTGTTTACATAGGCCATCTGCAAGGGCAGTATAGGTGACAACATTAGGGGTCACCCCCTTCTCAACCATCTCATTGTGCCAAAAAAAGGCTTCTTTCAGCTTACCAGCCTTGCAATAACCATCTACAAGTGTTGTATAAGTGATTTCATCTGGCGCTAATCCACTGTTAAGCATTTCATGGAAGATCTTCTCTGCTTCTTTCAAGTTTCCACTTTGACAAAGCCCACATATAATAGTTGAATATGCAATAACATCAGGGATGATTTTAACTCTTTGCATTTCCTTGAAAAGCTTGATAGCGGAACTAATATTACCGGACTTACAGAAACCATCAATAATTGTCGTGTAAACTACATTATCCGGAGGTATATTAAGAGCAATCATTTCTCTCAGAACCCTTTCTGCATCTGCTACCTTACTATACTTGCACATTAGAACAATAATGCTATTAAATGTAAATGCATTTGGCTTCAGTCCCTTCATTCTCATTTCATTAACCAGCCTCATCACCTTATCTAATTCACCAACATGACAGTATCCATTAATGACAACACTATAACTCACAACATCAAGCAGACAGCCTCTTAACTCCATCTGCAGCAGTAGATGGTGCGCTTCTCTAATTTTCCCTAACTGACAAAGAATGTGTAAGATTATATTATATGAACCAGTATCCCAACAGATTCCTGCTTCAAGGAACTCCTGAAAAACCTCGAAAGTGTCCCTTTTCTTGTCTGATTGGCTGGAAAGATTAGCAAGAAGCAATTGACAGGATTCAGCAGAGATCACCAAACCAAAATTCAACATCCTTCCAAAAAGTCTCCTTGCCTCTAGCAAATATCCAACTTGAACAAGCACCTCAAAGAATAAATCAAATACACATGGATTTGAACCCCAATCCTTGTAAGTGTAGATCAATTTTTCAACAAAACTAGAAAAAGAATAGGCAACATCAATATATGGTTTAGACCAGAAATCATATATAAGACTGTGAGCTATCTTCAAATCTTTTGAAGCAACAGCAATATGTATGACAATACTCCGAACTTCCAATGATGGTTCTCTATGAAGACATGCCCATTCATAGAAGTTATATACCAGCTCGGTATCATTCTTGATGTTCATTAGAACCCAAATGAGATGGTCAGGCTTGAATTTTGACTCAAAGGGTCTAAGAGCATGCCTTAACGTCTCAAAACGCCGTTGCTTTATGGTAATTGAGACATTCTGCACAAGTTCAGAGTCTCTGATTGTTGGCTTTCTGGGTGAATAATCAGGAAATGGTCTTGCATCAGAAGAGTAAAAAGTGCAGAGCTTTTCTCCCAAATATCTGTCCTTAAATGGGATAAGCAGAAATCGACCCAAGTATAAACTCTGGGGTACGAGTTTAGAACAACCATTGATTAAGGAGATGACACCAATATTCATTTCTGTGAGAGAAATCCATCAAAGTGGATTCCGAAAAGATATGGTTAACCAAACAGAAACACCAGTCCATGTAGCTTCCTCAACTTGATAAGACATCAATATATGAGCCCATCGCCTGCAGACCATAAGCAACGTTATAATCGTAATCACCAAATGATTCTTAATTGTATATAATAGTTGCCTTCTGCTACACTGATGATGAAGATGCATCTACCTTAGGCACATTCAGTGATTTAAAAAACATCAATTTCAGGACATACGAAAACAAGAATTCATCCCACTAAATAAAGCCAAAAATCCCCTTAAAAATAGTACTACATTTTCACTTGGGCATTTCATCAAACAGTTGGTGACCATTAACAAATTTGATTACTAATTAACCCAGAACTACAAGCATAAAACTGAATTTAAACCAATGTGACATGGGAAATCATTGATAATGCATAAGATTCAATTAATAATACCAAAGAGCATTGTTCTCATTGATTCACATTCATTCAAATGCAATTTTTCTCTACTACTCCAGAGTATGAGAAAACATTAAAAGATGATATTAAAGCAAACTTTGAAGAGAGAAGAATGCGAGTGTTTACCTTAGCAGCAAAGAAACAATGGAGACATTCCAGATTAACAGGGATGAATGGGGAAGAGAGAGAAAGTTTGGGTGATATGGTAGGAGGAAGACGACGGAGAAACTGCGCTGCTGCTTAAGCAAAAGAAAGGCGGGTAGAAAACTAGAAATTGAGTACGGAGTACTGTGTTTTGGGCTTTTAACCTTTAGCATAAATACGTAACGTAATAGCCAATAGGTCTTAGCTGCACCGTGGTGCAATTAGGCCGTTAGAATAGCTGCACCACGCTCTATAAAATGAACATTTAGTATAAAAGTTAGGAAAATTGGTAAAAAGTAAGTCAACTTTTATGTGGTTAACTTAATATAAGTTAACCTTTTGATTAACTAAAAATAAGTCGATCTTTTAGAGTATTATCTTTAATGGGTCAAATGACCTTCAACCACTTTTTTTTTTTTTTTTTTAATTTTTTTTTTAAATGGAATTTCCTCTATCTCCACGAACCACCACCTTTTGGCCAACCAACCACCTTCTGGCCAACCAACCACCACAGCCAAGTAGCCAACGAATCACCCTCAACCCCCTCACCACCCATGCCCAGCGTAGCCTTCAATACTCACTATCGCCGACTATCTCTTCGGATGAGAGAGGTATTGAACCGAGAGAACCAGCATGTTTCCGGTAAGGGGTTTCTTGTGCGGTAATTGATGATGATGGTGAGCAAGAAAAGCGGTGTACTGGCGCAGTCTTTGGTGGCACATCGAGAGGGGGATTTGCCGGCGTTCATCAAGGAAGAAGGGAGACAAAGAGGTCGGTGTAGTGCCGGCATTTAGAGAGGGGAAGATTGGTCGGCAAGGGGTAGGGGACTGGCGGGAGGAGGGAGGGGTTGGTCGGCGGTGGAGAAAGGAGATGGAGAGATTGGTGTTACGGGGTAAGGGACAGTCGTTGATGGGAGGGGAGAGAGAGAAAGTGGTCGACTATGGGGAACTGGATGGCAAAGGGGAGTTGTTGACTTGCTGGTCTGCCGTGGCCAGCTGTGGGGGTTGCTGGTTTGCCATGGCCGGCAGGGGTATTGTCTACGGTGGTCAATGGAAAGGGGGCTGACTAGTGTAGTGGGGGTAGGGGTAGTTTAAAAATAATATTTTTAATAATGAATTTGAATATTCATATAAATTAAAATTTTAAAAGAACCAAATATATTGTGACACGTGGCATAATTAATCCAAACAACCGGTTATCCCTAAAACCTAACAGGTCATGACTCATTTTGAGAAAATACTCCATAAAGGTCGACTTATTTTTAGTTAATTTAAAGGTTGACTTAATTTGAGCTAAATGAGCAAAGGTTGGCTTATTCTTCACAAATTTTCCTTAAAGTTATGAACACTTAAAAAAATGAACATTCAGTTTAAAATAATGAACAATTAAAAAAAAGAACATTTAGTACTAAAAAGTGAACATGTTTTAAAAAAAACTTATCAATTTGTATATTAAAAATGAATATGATTATCATACAATCATATAACTGCTGGACCACAACCTTAACACGAACATTTAGTAAAAAAAATTATGAACATGTATGAAAATGAACATTTAGTAATAAAAAATAAACACGTAAAAAAATAAACATTTAGTAATAAAAAGTGATCACATAAAAAAAAAATGAACATTTAGTTTATTAAAATGATCATTTATTATACAATCATTGAATAGATAGACCATACATAATAAAATGATCATTTCATAAAAATATATGAACACATTAAATAAAATAAACATTTAGTATAAAAAAATGAACACGTCAAATTTTTTTTTGAACATTTAGTATGTTAAAAATGAACATGATTTTCATATATTCATATATGTTCAAATTCATTGTATAAAATTATTAACGAAAAATAATTAAATGTATAGTAAATCATTAAAATATGTTCTTTTTTTATGTATTGATTGTTCATTTTTAGTGTACAAAATGTTCATTTTATACTAAATGTTCATTTTTAAAGTAGTACGTGTTCATTTCTTTATACAGAAATTATACACAAGTTCGATTGTAATTAATTTATTTCTAAAAATTTGAATATCGTCCTTAAATCTAATCTTGTTTCATCATAAAGAAAATAATTATCAAATTTTAACATGATAGATAATGAATCAAAAGAATAACCAAAAAAGAGAGAGAGAGAGAGAGAGAGGAGAGAGAAAATTACTATAATTAATTGTTATTCATCACATACTACAAATTGACAAAATACACAATGAAATATCAATCACAAATTCATAAAATATAACCTAATTAAACCAAATTATAAATCAATAACATAAACAAACCTATATCAACAATCTCTTCAAAAATACCAATTAAATCCATCATGAATTCAACGAAATTACAGAAAATAGAGGAGAGAGATAATGTTTATTGAAGAAGATAATGTCAAAAATAGAGGAGATATAAAATTTCAATCAAAATTAAGAATTAAGGGAAAAATTAGAAATAGAGGGAAACATATACATAAGAATTAAGAAATAAGAAAAGAAATAAGGTAAGAAGAAGATTAAGCAAGGAAGGAGAATAAGTAGTACAATGTATGTGTGTTTTACTGTATAAATGTTAATGGTGGTGCAGCTAGCTTAGATGCTCTAGGATGCATCTAAGAATTTGCCCGTACTAGCGTCTTCTATTTGGACCAAAAAACAATAGAATGGTCACATACTATACTTGACAAAAACCGACCCAACTCGAAACCGATACGAATAAATCAAATGTAGATTTGATTTGTTTGGACACAATAATTTAGCATGACTCCAAATTTGTAGTAAATCCGACCCAACACCCGATTTGACACCTATGTATACAACTCATATTCACTCTACATTAGGTTATCTATTGAACAAAAAGGTATTTGTATCGAGTAAAGGTTCAGTCTTCGTCACCCAGATCCGCTCGGTCGGGCGATCGCTGGCCTGTTCGGGCGCAGGTGGTACCTGGGTTGATGTGATGGTTATTTCTTCGCTGTTGCTTGTTTTATTTGCTGCTAATATATATATGTTCAAAACATATGATGAAAACCACTTGAAGAATCTCATTTTATTTATTCTTCTTCATACCTTTTGCAAACCCAATCTATCATCATTATAATTACTCAAATATTGATTACATTAGATCACAAACATACTACACACTGTTGTGATTGTCTTTGTTGTATCTCCTAGTGATTTCGTGATACCGGGTGTGTGCAATAGGGTCGAAATATTACTTTAGGCAAGTGATTTTGTTCACACCTCGAAGTGTTAATTTGTCCGATATCATTGCATTTTTGTGACCCTTGTATCAATTTCCCCAACAATCCAAAGTAATATTTTCTACAAAGATGGCAACAGTGAAAGAATTGACATCAAACTTTCAAAATTTGGACAAGTTTGAAGGAGTAAATTTTCGAAGGTGGCAGAAAAAGATGCATTTTTTTGTTGACATCACTTGGAGTGGCATATGTTCTCACATCCCCGAAACTAACAGAGGAGGAAAACGAGACATTGGAGGCTATAGGAAACCAACAAGTGGGAGAATGATGACTACATTTGACGTGGGCACATCTTAAATGGTATGTCAAATGAGTTGTTTGATATTTATCTGTTTCATGATTCCGCTAAAATGCTTTGGGAAGACTTAGAGTCAATATATATGGCTGAGGATGCATCTAGCAAGAAATTCCTTATTAGTAAATTTAACAATTATAAGTTTGTTGATAGTAGGCCGGTCATGGAACAATATCATGAGGTTCAAAGGACTTTAGAAAGTCTTAGGCAACATGAAATTAATCTTGATGAGACCTTTGTAGTGTCATCTATAATAGACAAATTACCTTCCTCTTGGAAAGACTTTAAGAATGGTTTAAAGCATAGAAAAGATGATATTAATCTTAAGAGATTAAGTTCCCACATTCGGATTGAGGAAGACATCCGTGTTCAAGAAGGACAAAAGGAGGTATATCCTAGTTCTACCACCGTTAATATGGTGGAGGATTGAAAGTCCAATGAGGGGAAGAGAGGATATGAATCAAACAAAAATAAGGGCAAAAGCCTAAAGTAAGTGGTGATGGTCAAAAATCACGTGCTTGTTGGGTTTGTGGAAAATCCGGTCATTTTAAGAAAGATTGTACAATCTGGAAGAGAAATTGAGCAAGAAAAAGACTCAAGGTGGGAAAGGAAATTCTAGCCAATCCCAAGACAAACAAGGTAACTCTTGTGCACAAATCTCATTTAATTCATTTATGGATTATATATGTGTGTATTATTTCTGAAATCAATTGTGAACAGGCTGATTGTTCGTGGTATATCGATTCGGGCACATCGAGGCATGTGTGCAAAGATATATCGTTGTTCAAGACCTTCATGGAGGTTGATGATGGAGAGATTCTCTATATGGGAAATGACTTTACAGCAAAACTGCTAGGCAAAGGACAAGTTGAGCTAGTTTTTAGTTCGGGCGAATCTCTTATTTTAAGAGATGTGTTGTATGCTCCCGAACTTAGGAGAAATCTTGTATCTGGTGCGATCTTGAATCGATTAGGTTTTAAAATGGTTTTTGAGTCGGATAAGTTTATTTTGTCTAAAGGTGGTCAGTTTGTAGGTTGGATATTTGTGTGATGCTATGTTTAAGTTAAGTATTTGTAATGCTTTTAAAGATAGTGTGTATGTTGTTAATGACAATTTTTCTCTATGGCATTTAAGACTTGGTCATGTTAATTATAAAAAGTTATATTTTATGTCAAAGCATAATTTAATTCTCATGTTTGATCCAAGGATAGAGAAGTGCAAGACATGCATGTTAACAAAAATCACGAGGCCGGAAATCATTCCCTAATGTCGTTAAGAAAAATACTTCATTGCTTGATTTAGTGCATAGTGACTTATGTGATTTTCACAACACACCTTCTTCAGGGAATAAGAAATATTTGGTAACATTTATTGATGATTTCTCAAGGTTTTGTTATGTCTATTTATTATTATCTAAAGATGAAACCCTAGACAAGTTTAAAATTTACAAAAGTGAAGTAGAATTGCAAACTAACGGGAAGATTAAAAAGCTAAGAACCGATAAAGGAGGTGCATATTATGATCCAAGTTATTTTTAATCTATAGGTTTAGTACATAAAATTACCGTGGCATACACACCACAACAAAATGGAGTAGCAGAAAGGAAGAATAAGACATTAGAAGAAATGGTTAATTCTATGTTGTCATATTCGGGTTTAAGTGATGGATTTTGGGGTGAAGCCATTTTAACGGCTTGTTACGTGTTAAATCGTGTTTCCATAAAAGGGAAAGATGTTGCCCCATATGAGCTATAGTATAAAAGGAAACCAAACTTGAGTAATTTTAAAGTTTGGGGTTGTATGGCAATTGTAAAAGTGCCGGAACCTAAACGTAAGAAGTTAGGTGAAAGAGGAGTGGAATGCATTTTTATAGGATATGCGGAACATAGCAAATCCTATAGGTTCTATGTAATAGAGAAAAATGACATTTGTTCGGTTCATACCACCATTGAGTCAAGGGATGCTTTGTTTGATAAAACTATATTTTCTTCAATTTCTAGGCCAAAAGATATTACTCCAAATACCGATGCTCAAAGTTTTGATCAAGTTTTAATTGATGAAGAGGTAGATGACCAAACTCATTTAGAGGATGCTTCTACATCATCATCACAACCTAGGAGAAGTAAAAGGGTAAGGAAAGAAAAATCCTTTGGCCCGAATTTTCATGTGTACTTGGTTAAAGGATCAAGAGATGAAGTTTCAACACAATATTCATACATTTTTAATGTGGAAGATGATCCTTTAATTTATGACGAGGCTATGAAGTCTCAGGATGCTCCATTTTGGAAGAAAGCAATTAATGATGAAATGGATTCCATCATGGGAAACAACACTTAGGTGTTAGCTAATTTACCGCCTAATTTTAAACTAATAGGGTGAAAATGGATCTTCAAAAGGAAATTGAGGATTGATGGAACTGTGGATAATTTCAAAGCCCGGTTAGTGGCACAAGGTTTTACACAAAAGCCTGGTATCGATTATTTTGATGCATATGCATCGGTAGCTAGAATCTCAACTATTAGGTTGTTGATTGCACTTGCGACAATTAAGAATCTAGTGATCCATCAAACGGATGTCAAGATAGCATTCTTGAATGGAGATTTGGAAGAGGAGGTTTATATGCAACAACCAAAAGGGTTTGTTGTGGAAGTCCAAGAGGCAAAAGTTTGCAAGTTAATTAAATCACTGTATGGGATAAAACAAGCACCTAAGCAATGTCATCAACAATTTGATGAGGTTGTGTTGTCTTATGGTTTTAAATTAAACAATTCTGACAAATGTGTGTATAGCAAATTTGATGACAACGGTACGGTCAAGGTGTCATAATTTGTCTATATGTAGATGACATGTTGATCTTTGGAACAGATTTGTCACAAGTTGAAATGACAAAATCCTTCCTTAGTTCTCAGTTTTCCATGAAAGATATGGGAGAAGAAGGTGTCATCTTGGGCATAAGAATAAAGAGAGAAAATGGGAAGTTGATCTTGTCACAATCTCATTACATTAAGAAAGTGCTCAAGA